AATTTCCTTCCTTGTTTAAAAAGACAAGTGTAGTTCTGCCTCATAGAGATGTTGCTGTGTTGGATAGAATTTTTAGGACAGACTCCTGGGTTGTTTTACAACTGTGCCATATTGGCATCTCTTCAAGTGATACCTCAAACACAGAACTTTTTAATTAGGAGGATGACAGCTAAATCATCATTAGAACTGATTTTTATTGTATTCTGTATATAAATTTTATGAAGCTTGTTTCTATGAGTAATGTGGAAAATTTTTATAAATGTGAACATATATATTTATTTGTCTAAAATAATTTGTAGTTTTGAAGCTGGTTTCACATTGAATTTATGGTTTCAATAATGACCAGTTTGGGGGTGTTTCTCTCTTTTACTTCAGTCATAGACCTTAAGTGCAGTGACAAAAATTTAGGATTAAGAATTTTATTCTGTACTTTTTAAACTTAAGAGCCAGGGAGTTGCATCATGAAAGCCTTTATATAACAATTTTATATGGGTAAGCATTTTCAAACATATATTAGTAGATAGAAGTGTTTCTTACATTTTTAATTTCACAGTGATCAGTGTCACTTACTTTGCTTAGTATTTAGATAGCCCTGACATCCAGTAAGTCAAACACTTACTGGTGTAGCAACGTCAGATGTCACCCAGTTATCATGGCTCCGCACCAAAGACTGCAGGTACCTCACTGTGGTGCAGTTAGAAATTTTCAAGTTGCTCACCTACAGACATGGTGAAATCATTTTGGTGAAATCAGGTAAGTACACGTATCCTCCTAAGCTGGAAAGGTGTACTGATTCTTCATGCAGCTCCCCTCAGTCGTGACCTCAGTCAGACTAGGGGAGCTCTCTGACTCCTCAGACCTGTGCTCACCATATTCCCATTCTAGGGAAGCCACATCACCATCCCTATTCGAGCGGTACAGCTGAGGAAGCTTTCACACTTCTAGCTTTTCCATAATCTGATTTAGTCAGATGGCTTCCTCAAAAAGAAGTTCTCCCCCCACCTTTTTCTTTTTTTGGTAGTTCTGTCAGTTGTTGAAGAGAAATAGAGTTACTGTTTTTTAAGGGTTTGTTTGGCCTTTGCTATATTTTACGTATTTTTTAAACTGCATTTTACGAAAATACGGTTCTTTGATTATAATGATGAAAAAAATATAGAAAAAAACTTTTAAAAATGATTGAAAAATGCTGCATGCACAAGGATGACCTCATCCTATTGAATGTGTAACAGGGTTAAAAATGCTAATAATTGTAGTGAAACAAAGTTAATTCAGGTATTTGAGTTTTATTTCTGTTTATTGTAGAGATTAATAATTGGCTCGTTAGATTTGTTTCCTGAATGGGGACACAATTAATAATTGTCCAGAAGAGTTATATACAATTCAGCACTTGTTAACTAATACAATGTGCAAATTAAAAACCTTTAATGCTCAGTAATTTTTTCTACTAGATAATATTCTTGAAATTATTCTTAAGTAAATTTCCCATAGTATGAGAACAGTTTATGAAACTCTCATCTGAATAAAATTCATTTCTTTTCACTAATTTTCATCTAAAATGATCTTGTTACTGGGATTGGATATAGATCTCATTCATAAATTTTGGAAGATTAGTGAAATTTTCCCTGAGACGCTATGTAGCAGAAGGAAAACTGAATTTAACAGTAAAAATCCAAAAAGTCGTGGCCTTTCTAACCACCTGTGTGACTTTTAACTAAATCATTTAGCTTCTCTGGGCCTTGGAGTCTTTCATCTATAACATATTGTACCCAGTTATCTCTGAGACCTCTTCCCCTCCTTAATGTATATGCTTACCAATATTTTAGGATAATTCAAGAAATATTATTCATTTTAGAAATTATAGGTAATAAGGTAGCATTCTGTAATGGTAAAGTTTGACTTAATACAACTGTTAAACACATTCAACTTCTTTAAGCAGGTAATTGATATTTACATTCTTACCAATAAATGTGTGTCATTTTCACTAGATGCATATAGAATTTATGTTTAGCTTTGTATCTGTAACCTGATTACCTGAATACCTAAGGCTATTGCTTTTAGCTGATGGATCTACTCCCTATACAATTCTCTCTCTCTTTTCTCCATTATTATCTTTTGGCTAAAATATCTCTGAGGTATCCTTAGTTGTTCACCCTTCATACATATCCGTTTATATCTTTGGTTCTCTGAGGCCAAAACATCAATAAATAAGGAGTAAAACAATTTATGTGTCTGTATTTACAATTGACTCTGTCTAAAATTATATAACCCCAGGTCACCTTCAGTTAAACTAGGTTGCAGAGTTATGAATAATGTTGATAGAAATGCCATCAGTTCCCTTATTCAGCAAACACCGATTGAGCGCCTGGCATGGCAAACACTCCGCCAAGTACTGGGGATACAGAGATTCTTAAGACCCATTTGCTTCCCTGAAGAGGTTCCTAGTTTAGTTGATAGGAGAAGCAGCAGAACGTAACACTGTGATAAGTGCAGTAATTGACCTGAGTGTGCATTTATAGAAACACAGAAGGTTACTTAGCTTGCCTGGAGCAGTTAGAAGAGGCAACCTAAAGAAAGTATTGTTTGTCTTGGATTTTGATGGAGGATGAAAGTGGAAGTGCTGGCAGTTACTGTTGAGTGGGTACTGTGAACAGAGACCACAACAGAAAAATCTGAGTTATGCGTGTGTCAAGAATTGCAAGCAATATGTGAGGCAAGAAGTGCGAAGAATTAAGACTGCTTTTGTATGTTCTCAGGAACACGAGAAAGTGGTCTTAAGTTCCATGTTTGGAAGCTTGGACTTGAATCTCATGAGACACCATGAGAGAGTTTTAAGGAAAGAAATGACTTTTATTGAGGTTTGGTTTCACCCATTTCAAAATCCAATTAAACAATTTTTAAAAGATGAAATTGCTCTCATGAGAAGGCCACATAAAAAATAACTTGAATCTTTTGCATCCTATTATTTGTATATTCCTATCATGTCCTCTTCTTCTAGACCCACTTTTCTTTTTAAGATTTGATGATTACCAAAGATTCCAGTGACTTGTCTTCTAAAAACACATAAAGCTACTATATTCCTTATCAGACCCATCCCCAGAATGACGCGCATATGTACATAATTGAAAATGGTTTTTGTCTTAAATTCTTAGATTATTTTAAGGAAGATTTTTTTTTAGATTATTTTTGACTGACTCAAATTCTGTCCCTAGGTTAGTATTTGTTACACCCCAAAAAATTATTTAAAATAGTTTTCATTCTATAGACTTGGTTGTAATTTGATGAGGCTTCTCACTTTCTTAATACTTTGTCTCAGTGTGTGAAGCACAACTATTTCAGAGTTACAGAGACACATACCAGTTGGCCCTCTGGTTGAGCCTGGTGGCTCTCCCTCAGGTAAGCTGGCTTGGCAGGGACTATACCTAGTACTAGTGCTGGGATTCCATCTTCCTGGGCAGTAGGCATTCAAGGAGAGTATGTGTCTTAAAAGCCAGCATGATAGTAATCTGACTTTTGGAGCCCAGGGGCCCCAACCAGCCACACATTTCGGCCATGCCCAGCCTCAGTACCTTTCACAGGTTAAGAGGAATTTGGGGGACCATGAGCATTTTGCTGGCCTTGACCCATCTGCCTGCTTCCTGTACCATCTATGGCACCTGCACTTGCCTTTGAAGAGCAAAGGTAGAACTATACCAGCGCCTTAACTTTCTCATCCCAGGTTTTTGCCTGAGGCAACATCTGGTTAATAGTGTAATTTTGAATATCTGTGTTTCAGGACAGCCAGTGTGAAATCCAGCACAGGCAGTGGATGTTGCAGTAATGATCTGGAGCTATACTCTCAATATAGCCACCCATGGCTATTTGAATTTAGATGAATTAAATAAATATAAATGTCTTCTTCAGTTGCATGAGCCACATTTGAAGTGCCCAGTTGCTACATGTGGCTAGTGGCTACCATGGACAGTGCAGATACAGAAAGAACATTTCCATCACCACAGAAACTTCTGCACAATGCTAGTACAGAAGATACCCCCAGTTCTTGGTCAAAATTTTGACAGCCTAATGGTAGAAAGTTTTGAATCCCGAGCTTTGCCTGCCAAGAGCAATAGGGCATTCCTTTTTCTCCCCACCCAGACCAGAGAAGCCATATTTGACACATTTTGAAAGGCTACTCTTTCAATTACAGTAATTTTACACAACACAGTGGATGTGTTGGGCAGAGCCAGCTTTTAAAAGTAATCCTTTTTTCCTAGTGAATTCCATTAGAAAACAAGGTCTGTGTTCTTGTAATAGGAATCATACTTAGGAATAAAAATCTAAGACAATTATAATGTGCAGAAACCATAGTTTTGTTTCTAGATGTCTTACAGTATTAATGCGATAGCCTTAGTTGGGAGTAGAGAATTTATTTTTAAACTTTCATTTTAGGAGTTCCGTAGGAATTTTATCAGTGAAGGATTTTTGTTATGGTTATCCTTGGTATGCAGAAAATATTTATGCAGATTATTCTTTGTAATGTATTTTGTTATTGAACATTAGGTTTTATAAACATAGTACATTCATTTTGTACCCAGCAAGCCCTGAAAAAAGGTAGCAGTTTATCTCTAAGAGGCTTAACAGGCCACCTTTGTTTTAGAAGACCACCCCCCTCCCCGAGATTTACCTGTTCAGAATCTTCTCATAAAAAGAACTGCCTCTGAGTAGCAAAAGAATTGTGAAATGTTTGTAATGTGACAAATCTTTCATCATTCCACACTGGCATAGTTTCACTCGTCTGTGTTATTGATACGTTCTTTAATTTCTCCTGAAGTATTAGCATAATTTCATGTAATACAGAAACATCTTAATTAGCAAATAAAAGTAAACTGCACATGATCAGAAACCTTAGTGGGTTTTTAATAAATTAATTGAATAATCAAAAAATGCAGCTGGGTCTTGCTTTGTAAGTGGTGAATCTTTGAATAGCACACTTACACTGTATTTGAAATGCATTCTTTCTTTGTATTGCTCCATCTCTCCAGTGAGCTTTTGCAACACAGGCTTTTTAATAATACACAGTTTTGATTTGTGTTGTATCCATTTTTGGATCTTGAATTACATCATCAGCTTCATAGGACGTTTCCATTGTTGAATTTGATGCTGCATTTGAATTGGGGGCTTTGGTTTTCCTACTTGGGTTCCCTGCAACATACAAAACAAAATGAAATAATTATCTGGAACTATGACATAAAATTTGGCTTTTTGTGTGCTTAAACAATACATTTGGAACAATATTGAAAATATGTCTTGAAAATGCTATGTGGATGAGTGAGAGTTGAATCATTTTGAGGTTGTTTTGAACATTTTCTTCTGAAAGTCAAATTAGAGAAACACTTAGTAACAGAAGTAAGAATTTCATTTCCATGCTTACCCTTTTGTCTTCCATGCTTTCACGGAGGAAATTACACATTTGGGAAGAAGGCAACAATTTCTGGGTTACTTAGTAAAAGTATGACTATCCCTATGCATAAAAGTGAACAAAATTATACTAAAGCTTATCTTAATAATTTGCAGCCCTCTTAAGGCTTTGCGATCATAATCTGTTTAGATGTAATATTTAACACCACATTTGTGCCACAATTTCATTCACTCATTCCACGTAAATATGAGTCCAAGATGTACAAGGGTAGAGGAATATGGACCTTTGCTCATCACAAAAACTAAAGTTTATAGCAAAGAAATGGATCATTCTTCAAGAATGAGTGTTACAAAAGTTAAGGGGGTGCCTGGGTGGGTCAGTCACTTAAGCGTCCCACTCTTGATTTAGGCTCAGGTCATGATGGTGACATCGAGCCCCTCACATCGGGCTCAACACTCAGCGTGGAGTCTGCATGAGAGGCTCTAAATCAGCCGATCAATCTTTAAAAAAAGAAAAGTAATTGTATCGTTTAGTTTGCCAATATATACAAATATATACAAATTTAAATAATGTATAAATATGTAGAAGCAATAGATAAATCTCACTGTCGCTAAGGCTCTCCTGGTTCTGAATCCCTAGCCCACTTCATAGTCTGCATGCTGTCTGCATTTTCTTTCCTTGGCCTCCAGGATACCACCCTTTCTTGACTCACCTCCTGTCTCCTTCTCGGTCTCCTCTGTCCTTTTTTCTCCCAGCCTCTTAGATTTAGGAGTCCCTCAGGGCTCAGCCCTTTGGTTCCTACCACCATCTTCCTCCCTAATTAGTCTCCTTTAGAAAAATCCGCTCTGAACTTGCCTCAGAGGAAGCAGGACCCACTGGCCAAGAGGGTTATTAGAAACAGTAACAGGTCCTTCCTCTACCCTTTGCTATTTGCATAAGTCGATTCTCGTCTTTCAGTGTGTTCATGCTGCCTGGCTTTGCCCATTTATAAGTAATGTACAGACTGCTTCCCAGGCCCCATCAGAATACCCCCACTGTGGGTTGACATCAGAATTCAGCACTCACAGGGCAATATTATTTATAAGGTATAAAGAATGATGTCTCACTCTAGCTCCCAGATCATGCCCACAGAACTGAAATGTGGGTGGTATTGTTCTCTGAGCTCATCTTAAAATACTGTAAGTTTAAAGTATAGGGCCTAGATGGCTTTATTTTATAACTCTTGAACCTCTGTGGTGGTGAAAGAAAGGAGAGAAAGAAAGAAAGAGAAAGAGAAAGAAAAAGAAAAGAAAGAAAAGGTTCTCCTTCTCAACATTCAGTCACAGTGTTTCAACCATATAATTTGATTTTTAAAAGTTAATTTGTTATAGGCACAACATTTTCTAGCCTGTCAAGTAGCTCAATGACCAGTCAGCAATAATTCTGCTAAATGGAGTAACTGGAAAGGCTGGCATGAAAATCTAATAAACTGATACATTTGACTTGACTTACTTGCAAAATGGAGTTTTAAAAAACAGTAGAGGAAAATTTAGCTACAAAGCACTTAAGTAATGGAACTTATTCTCTGTGGGGACCACTGAAACTGTCTTCCTCATGTAACATGAGAAAAACAACATTTTTATAGGTTAATTTTTGACTGGTGTAGCATTGTTTGTCCTCTTCAGTATTCTAGCAGGTAAAGATCAAGGATATAAGATGTAAATTAGTTGCAGATTATCTGGGTGACTTTTGCATCTTGCATAAGCATTTCTTTAAACATCTAAAATTTAAATTTTTATTGGAGTTCCTGGAATTCTGAACTGAATGTTGGTTAATTCCAGTCCTTCCTGTTTCCTAAGGTTTTCGTATACTTAGAATCGTAAGATACTTCAGTAAGACTTTCAAACACGTTTCATGGTATTTTTATCTACCTTGTCACATACAGTTTTTGTTTTCGTCTTTTTTTTTAAATGAGAAATAAATTCAGGAGGTTATTTCCTAACTTAGGGGTTCTCTCTAAGTCATCTCCATTCTAACCGCTCTAGTTTCCATTATGTATTTTCTGGCAGCAACTGAAAAAGTTTCTCTAACCCATCTACTGCCCTCTGAGATTTAAAGGCTTGAAAACATATTCCAGTATTGGGGCACCTGGGTGGCTCAGTGGGTTAAATCCTCTGCCTTCGGCTCGGGTCATGATCCTAGGGTCCTGGGATCAAGCCCCGCATTGTGCTCTCTGCTCCGCGGGGAGCCTGCTTCCTCTTCTCTCTCTGCCTGCCTCTGCCTACTTGTGATCTCTGTCTGTGAAATAACTAAATAAAATCTTAAAAAAAAAAAAAACAACCCATATTCCAGTATTACAGGTTTTTCTTCATTTAGGACTTAAAAAGACACCCATTCTCCAGCCCTAGCTTCTTATTCCCTTGGCTACTGGATCCTTCTAATTGGTGTAGATACAAATTTGTTTCTTAGATTGGCTTTTTTTTTTAATTTTTTATTAACATATAATCCATTATTAGCCCCAGGGGAACAGATCTGTGAATTGCCAGGTTTACGCACTTCACAGCACTCACCTAGCACATACCTTCCCTAGTGTCCATAACCCAACCACCCTCTCCCTACCCCTCTACCCCCGGCAACCCTCTGTTTGTTTTGTGAGATTAAGAGTTTCTTATGTTTGTCTCCCTCCCGATCCCATCTTGTTTCATTTATTCCTTTCCTACCCCCCAAACCCCCCACGTTGCCTCTCAACTTCCTCATATCAGGGAGATCATATGATAATTGTCTTTCTCTGATTGACTTATTTCGCTAAGCATAATACCCTCTAGTTCCATCCACATAGTTGCAAATGGCAAGATTTCATTTCTTTTGATGGCTGCATAGTATTCCATTGTGTATATATACCACATCTTCTTTATCTATTCATCTGTTGATGGATATCTAGGTTCTTAGATTGGCTTTTTAAGGTAAGGCAGTCCCCCTAATAGAATCCGTTTGCTTTGCCAACAAGAAAAGATTTGTTATAAACACCATACCAATGTCATTTGAAGCAGGAATTTTGATTAGCAAGTTAACACCCCTAGTGTTGACTCCCTTCTCAAAACTTAACAAAAAAAAAACCCAAAGGTGCTTTCAGTGTACATCTTTCTGGTAAATTGGAATAATTGGACGTAGAGAAAAACAACTGCAGTGAGTAGCTACAGTGATAATATATTGAGTCCAGCTAATTGTATCCCTTTGGAATAACTTTAAAAGAGACAGAAGGAAAAGTCTGAGCAACTTCACTTTTTCCTAGTTTTGCTTTGATAAATAGAAGTTAATTTCTTAACCAACAAGGATAAAATCAGCAGCCTCTTTTTCTGTCCCAGGACTACAACATGGGTTAGATTTTAAATAAGAAATCTATAATTCCATTGAGCTCCCAAGGGATTTGTTACACATAAAAGGGTTTCCTTATTTAATTCCTCCTTTTCCTTACTGAATGCAGACTGCGAAGCTCCAACATTATTGGTCTTTTCTGGGTTTGATATCAGTTGTTCTTTTTGCTGCTCATTCTTTTTTTTTTTTTTGGTGTCTGGTCATCAAAGGGAAATCTCAACCTTCCTTTAATCCTATACCCCTATACCTCTCAGACTGGCATTTACATTAAAGCTTTGGCCTTTGCCAGAATTCAAATCCAATTCATCAAACAATCTTTGCACGTATCCTCATCGTGAAATGCACCAATAGATTTTTTCTGATAATGGTTAAATTTTGCATTCACTTTTAGAACCAGTCCTCAGAAATCCATTTATCTTAAAACACTTCTATGAACTCTGCCCTTGCCTGCCATTTCAAAATATCAAAAGAATGCTGGCGACCCCTGTAGGTTTTTGTCTCTTTGAGTATCAGGCCAGAACTGTAATTAGGCATTACTCCCATTATCTGCCTCCATCCCCCTAGCTTCTGTGTAAAATTCTCAGTCCTACCACAGCTTCTAATTCCTAATTAGCTGGCTCACTTTACTTCTGGGTGGAAAATCTACACAATCCGCTCATCCCATAGTTCCGACTAGTGAAAACAAGCCACCTTAAAAATCTGTACCCGAGGGGCGCCTGGGTGGCTCAGTGGGTTAAAGCCTCTGCCTTCGGCTCAGGTCATGATCCCAGGGTCCTGGGATTGAGCCCCACATGCATCGGGCTCTCTGCTCAGCGGGGAGCCTGCTTCCTCCCTCTCTCTCTCTCTGCCTGCCTCTCTGCCTACTTGTGACCTCTGTCAAAAGAAAAGAAAATCTTTAAAAAAAAAAAAATCTGTACCCTAAGTGGTTTTGATCTGCAAGAGGATATTTCTCCCTTCAAATTTAATATGAAGCATGGGGCTGGATCCCAAGTTAATGGTGAAGTGGGCAAAACTTTCCCAGTGACCTGCTGATGTATTGTGCTTTACCCTGTGCAGGACCCTGTCTTCTTAAGAATATATAAGTATCTGAGGGCACCTGGGTGGCTCAGTTGGTTAAGTGACTGCCTTCGGCTCAGGTCATGATCCCCAGGGTCCTGGGATTGAGTCCTGCATCAGGCTCCCTGCTCAGTGGGGATCCTGCTTCTCCCTCTCCCTCTGCCACTCCCCCTGTTTGTGCTTTCTCTCTCCCTCTGTCAAATAAATAAAATCTTAAAAAAAATATATATATATATATATATATGTATGTATGTATGTATCTCAAATAAATGTAGTTAAAAATTCATCGTAAAAGCTACAATCTTAGACTTGCCCTTTGGCTTTATTCATCCATCAATGAGCAAAGGCAGTTCTATCCAGAAATATTTTTCCT